GAATGGATAAAGAAGATGTGGCACATATATACAATGGAATATTGTATATATGTGCCACATCTTCTTTATCCATTCATCTGTCGATGGATGCTTAGGTTGCTTCCATGTCCTGGCTATTGTAAATAGAGCTGCAACGAACATTGTGGTACATGACTATTTTTGAATTATGGTTTTCTCAGGGGATATGCCCAGTAGTGGGATTGCTGGGTCATATGGTAGTTCTATGTTTAGTTTTTTAAGGAACCTCCATACTATTCTCCATAGTGGCTCTATCAATTTACATTCCCACCGACAGTGCAAGAGGGTTCCCTTTTCTCCGCACCCTCGCCAGAATTTATTGTTTGTAGATTTTTTGATGATTGGCCTGGGCTCTGACATAGGTGTGATGGTGCTTCCTCCCCACACTTTTAGTTCCAGTACACACAAGGGCACTAACCTTCCACCAAAGCTAACAAACTAGGGACACAAATGCTGATCTGGATGGCCCCATGGTCTTCCCCAAACCCTGCAGATGAGAGAGAAAGAACCAATCTAAAGCGCAGGGGGAGCAGAGGACCTGGAGACTCTGCCAACCTCATCATCAGCTCCCCCACCCAAGTAGATCAGGACTTTCTACACTTTTAAAGCTCATTCTTGCAGCCTGTTGAACTCTGCGAGCTATACCTGTGGCCAAATGGTGTGGGGTGTTTTGCTTTGTTTTGTTTTGAAGTACAAAGTCCAGAGGAATTATAGGGATAGAAAGAGGAAGAAAAATATTCTAGTAATTCCTTTTCTTCAGTCCCTCCCACCCCAGACAAGGCCGTATCTGTCTAGCCCCATCAACAATCATCTATATACTACACATGATCAAAACAGATATAGACATTCCCCAAAGGCATTAGAATAACAAAAACCAAGGGATCCTCCAATGTTGGCAATGAGTAAACACATTTGGGCCACAAGATCCAGATGTATTCTTTATGTATGGATTCCTCACACAACATAGGTACCGAAAGATTAAGAATTGATTTTATTAGGGGAACTAGCAGGTCTTCTCATAGATGGGGATGCATGTGGAGCTTGCCTGGAAATAAAAACCATTGCATATGGAATGCAGCTAAAGCAGTGCCTAGAGAAAATTTGTAACTGTAAATACTTATATTTAAAAAGAAGAACATTCTCAAATTAATAACCTAATCTTCCTCATTAAGATGCTGTGGGGGGAAAGGGCAAACTAAACTTAAAGCAGGCAGAAGGAAGAAAATAATAAAGATTACAGTGAAAATTAATTAAATAGAGAATAGAAAAATAGAGAAAATCAAAGAAACCAAAAGCTGGCTCTTTGAAAAGATCAACAAAATTGGCAAACTTTTAGCTAGATTGGCCGAGAAAAAAAGAGAAAAGACTCAAATTGCTAGAATCAGAAATGAAAGGGATGACATTATCACCAATCTCACAGAAATAAAATGGATTATTAAGAAATATTACAAACAATTCTATGCCAATCAGTTAGGTAACTTAGAAGAAATGGACAAACTATCAAAACTGACAAAAAGAAATAGACAATCTGAATAGACCTATAACAATTAAAGAGATTAAATTAGTCATCAAAAAACAAAGAAATCCCAGGCTCGGATGGCTGCATAGGTGAATTCTACCAAGTATTTAAAGAAAAATTAAAACCAATTCTTCATAAATTCTTCCAAAAAGTAAAAAAAGGAGTGCTATGGACTAAATTGTGTCCCCCTCAAATGTTCATATGTTGAAGCCCTAGCCCCCATTGCAACTATATTTGGAGAGAGGGTCCATAAGGAGGAAATAGAGGTTAAGTAAGGTTTTAAGGGTAAGACCTCAACCTGATAGGACTGGTTAAAAAGAAAGTACTGACAAGAAGAGGAAGAGACATGAGAGAGCTCTCTCCCTCTTCACACACATGCACAGAGGTGAGGCAACATGAAGACACAGAAAGTGGCTGTCCACTAGCCAGGAAGAGAAGTATCACCAGAAACTAACCCCGACGACACCTTGATCTCAGACTTTTAGCCTCTAGAATTGTGAGAAAATAAATTCTGTTGTTAAAGCTACCTAGTATGTGGTATTCTGTTATGGCAGCCAGGCAGACTAATACAAGGAGGGAATACTTCCCAACTCATTCTATGAGAACACTAATACCCTGATACCAAAACTAGACAAAGCCATCACAAGAGAACTACAGATCAATGTCTCATTAATATGGATGCAAAAATTCTCAGCAATATACTAGCAAAACAAATCCTTAACATACAAAATGACTTATACATCATGATCAAGTAGGATTTGTTTCAGGAATGCAGGGTTGGTTTAACATCTGAAAATCAATTAATGTAATATGTGATATCGATAGAATAAAAAACAAAGATCATGTGATTATCTCAATAGATGCAGAAAAAGCGTTTGAAAAAATCCAACATTGTTTCATGAGAAAAACACTCAAAACACTAGGAATAGAAGGGAACTTCCTCAAGCTGAAAAAGGGCATCCATAAAAAAACCTACACTTAACATCATAGTTAATGGCGAAAGACCGGATGCTTTTCTTCCTAAGATCAGGAACAACACAAAGATGTCTCTATTCTTGCTACTTCTATTCAACATTGTATTGGAGGTTCCAGCCAGGGCAAGTAGGTAAGCATCTAATTTGGGAAGGAAGAAGTAAAACTATCTCTTGTATGTAAAAAATTCTAAGGAATCCAATAAAACACTTTTATTAATTGAAATTAATAAATGAATTCAGTAAAGTTACAGGATACAAAATTAATATGCAAATGTCAATTGTACTTTTATACATTTGCATTAAACAATATGAAAATGAAATTGGGGAAAGAATTCAATTTATAATAGTATTAAAAAGAATAAAATACTGAGGAATAAATTTAACAAAAGAAGTATAAAACTTATGCTCTAAAAACTACAAAACATTATTGAAAGAAATTAAAGAAGATCTAAATACTTAATTGGAAAAAATTCCATGTTTATGAATCAGAGGACTTAATATTATTAAGATTATTACCATCTTACACCCTAAATTCATCTATGGATTGAATGCAATTCTTGTCAGAATCTCAGCTGACTTCTTTGTAGAAACTGACAAGCTGATTCTAAAACTCATATGGATTTTCAAGGAACCATAAATAGCCAAAACAATCATGGAAAAAGAAGAACAAAGTAGAGTAGTCACACTTCTCAATTTCAAAATTTACTACAAAGCAATGGTAACAAAGACAGTGTGGTACTGACTTAAGGAGAGACATATAGAACAATGGAATAGAGTTGAGAGTCCAGAAATAAACCTATGTGTCATGTTCAACTGATTTTCAACGAAGGTGCCAAGATCATTCAATAGGAAAAGAACAGTCTTTTCAACAACTGATGCTTGGATAACTGGATATCCGCATGCAAAACAATGAAGTTGGACCCTTACTTCATACCATACACAAAAATTAACTTGAAATGGATCAAAGACCTAAATGTAAGAGCAAAAACTTATAAAACTCTTAGAAGGAAATATAGGGGTAAATCTTTATAACCTTGGGTTTGACAAGGTATTATTAGATTTGACACCAAAGGCATGAGCAACAAAAGAAAAAATAGGCATATTAAATTTACCAAAATTTAAAACTTTTGTATTTTGAAAGACACTATCAAGAAAGTGAAAAGAAAACCCACAGAATGGGAGAAATTACTTGCAAATCATACCTCTGATAAAGAATTCATATCCAGAGTATATTAAAAAAACTCTTACAACTCAACAATCAAAAGACAAATAACCCAATTTTTAAATGGGCTTGAATGGACATTTTCC